CATGTTCCAGGACATTGTGAAGTGAATTTGAACAGTTGTCCCAGGATTGCATCATTGAACCAATGAAAGAAAAGTGGCAGTGCATTCAGCTGCTCACTAAACCCTGATTGGAAGGGTGATGTGTGTACATGGCAATTCTGGGACACTTCTGTTCCAGGGTGAGCACAGACACAACTTGTCCAGGGACAAATGCAATGTCTGTTCATAGCCTGTCAGACCATTACAAGAAGTGACAGCCATGATTTTGGCATAGGTAGGCCAGGTTCTTTGAGTAGATGTGATATCTTTTATTAGATCAACTGAGTAGTTGGGAAAAACAGTTCTTGGCAAGCTTTCGGGTACAGTCACCCTTTGACAGGCATAGGGAGTTTCTGCTATTTTGTTTCTTGGAGTCTCAGAATAGCAGAGACTCCCTATGCCTGACAAAGGGTGACTGCACCTGAAAGTGTCCCAAGAACTTTTTTCCAACTACTCAGTTGGTCTAATGAAAGATATCACACCTATTCGAAGAACCTTGCCTGCCTATGTCCTTATACCAACAAGGCTACAACCAAAAACCTATCAACATGGTTTTGGCACTAATTTTAAATTGATTTTTTTAACAGACAATAGGCCAGGGAAATGCACAAATCAGCATGGATTTCTGCTGACTGTAGAAACAGACATCAATATTTTAAATATAAAAAAGGCATGCTGTAATCCTCCAGGTGCTAACCTTTCCTTTTGGAGCCAAACAAAATGTTCTTCTTCTCCATTCCTCACTTTTGCTCCTTTTTCCTTCCTTCCTTAAACAAACAAGACCCCCTCCCTCTCTCGTAAGCCCTGCCAAAAGATTATCTATTATACTGAGTCCCAATATTGTTAATGTAAAAAAAAAAAAAAAAAAGAAAGCTGCTTTCCCACAAGTGGAATAAAACTCATACACACTGATTTGATCACCTGGGTGTTTGATGGAGCTTGTCATCTGGACTAATGCCAAAATGCCTTATGAATTGCACTGATGGGTTGTATGAGCTGGATGGAGGAAGAGAGGGAGCATGACGGGATGCTGTAAAGGTAGTACTAGGATACGTTTGGAAGAACCTAAATGTAACAAAGAATGCTTGTAGAAAGATAGGCAGGCAGATGGATTCCATTGCTCCATGTAGCACAGTGACAAGTGTGTGTGATGTTCATCATCCCAAACAAATGCCCAATTGAGCCCGTGCACCAAAGAACATTAACTAAAATATGTCGTATTCATCCATCCTGTAATTAGACGCATTTACTGGCATGGCTCCAACTATAAAGGTGTAGGTGAAATTAGAGATTTAAAAAATAATAATTATTAATATTTTCTCCCATGATTAACCAAAAATATCTTTGCTGTGCAACATAATTTCATGATTTTAAGATCTGATATTCCTGGACTTTCCTAGGCAAGATCTGAGCATTTCTCTGGAAAGGTGGGCACTTTCTTTTCCCAGTAGTCTTTAGCACACCTTCCTAACCCTGATGTTATCTCAATCTGCCAGTAAGCCACAATTAAATACTGTCTTTGGTTTCAGGCCAAGGTAATTTTAAGGAGAAAAATGTCTTCTTTATGCAGGGAGGGAAGGTGGAGAAGGAAATCTTTATTTAACAGGAAGGTGTATATGTGTACTGACTCTTTAAAACTACTCAAATGCAAGAATTCCTGCTGGGAATGAATGGGCAAAGTGAAGCTGACTGTTATAAAACATGTCTGATATGTACAATTGTTCATGTGGCACCACTTTATAAGAGGGAGGCAGGTCTTGGTACTGATTTAAAAAAAACTGGAGCCTGAAATGAAGCCAGAAAATCCATGTATAGGTACCTGATTTTGAAAAGGCTTTTGTCCATAGCTTCTTTGACTTGTAGGAATTACTGCCATCATGATAAATGTATATACATCCATAATTTGGATTGTGAAAATCTTTACTTGCTATTAAAGTGCAGCTATTTCTGGGGTGAAACATGACAGATGTTAGACCTTTCACAGAAGTTCTGCACAGCAGTTTCAAGTGGGAAATGAAATATATCATATCCAAATGAAACTGCAGGAAAGATTTGGATAGGTGAGATGTAATTACTGAAGTTGAAATATGTCCAGGACACTGGGGCTGACTTTCTTGGTTTTGCAAATTTGAATTAAACAACTTTAATTTTAAACACCTGATGGTATTGCTCCTAGCCAGAGCAACTGGAAGATTGCTGAGGGGAAAAAAATGAGGCAGTATTTCCTAAGCAAAAACATATCCAGGGAAAGAAAAATGGACTTTGTATGCACTTCAGTGGGGAAAATATGAAATACTGCTGGAGAAGCAAAGTTACTTTTTCTGGACTGTACCTCAGCTGAGATTAAACGACTCCAAAAGCAATGCTAATACTTTAAGTGATGAACTACAGAAGTGGAATTATACAGGGGGAAAAATGCACGGAATCCGAATTGGAGGAGAGTAGGGGGGGTGGAAAACAGGGTGGATAAAAAACTCATTCTCATTTGCTTTTATAAACACATGTATAAACCAGTTTTTATTTATGATATTGCAGATATCCACAGTTACTCAATGGGTTCAGACCACCAACTCTCTTACACTGAAATTCACTGAATCTACAACAATTCAAGCAAAGCAAAATTAATACCTGAATGAAAGCACCGTGTATAAGACATCCTCTAAATTTCAGGATGACCTTTGTTGGCCTTAGTGTTACCCATTAGGCTTGCCATTGGAAGGGAGCAAATTCACTTTTCACACAGTAGTTCACAAGCTTTGGAATAAATAAGAGTGCAGACACATGACAAGCATACTCTGTAGTAATTAAACCTGGATTCAACTCTGCAGATAATTTACTCTGTGGTAAAGAGCAGCACTATGTTTAGCTCTAAAACTGCCTGCCTAAATTTGGCTCTGCTACAGTGCTTGGTCAGTGCGTGGCAATGCAGGCAATTTGAATTGAGTAGATGGCTACTCTAAGGTGAAGTTAACAATGGTAGTGGGTACACAACATGTATACCAGAGTAACTTTCTCCAGAGAAAATTTGCTTCTGATTTCTTTGGAAGTAACTTTGTACTAGAGAAAAGCATTTCTTTCAGGAAAACTGCTGTTATATCATGTGTATGTTCCACTTTTCCTCCAGAGGACTTTTGTTAATACTCTGGACTAACATGTTGTGTGGCCACATCCTAATTCTTGATCCTGCCTCAGGGAAGGGAGTTGGAGAAGATCCCTTGAGGTCCCTTTGATCTCTGTGTTTCTAGTCCCTCCCCCTCCCCCCCATTAAAGAAATAATCCTAAAGGTAACAGTGGAGCATAGCCACCTATTTTAATTCATCTGCAGGTTCTCCAGATAAACAACACAATCCAACAGAAGGGCGCACATGCTAGTTTGCAAAGGAGTAGTTTTAAGCAGCAGAAGGAAGTTATATTTTTATTATCCTAAAAATAACTGGAAGCTCAGAATATTATTTTCTTGGTTTCCTTGTGGCACAATTTCTCCAGTTGTTGCCAAAGGAATTAAATTCAGATCTACTATACCTGAGAAAGTGTTTCCATGTTTGTATAATACATAAACAATTGCAAAGGCTGATCTTGGACTTGCTGTGTTCCACCCTTGTCTAATAGGATGTTGCACATAGAACACATCTTTATCTTCAGTGGAAAAGCCTTAGAGGCATATGCTTCCCTAAATATGTATGTTGGGAATCCTATTAGTACTAATGGGAGTTGACTTGCAGATGGAGAGAAGCAAATAGCTCTGAGTCACGAGTGCAGTTTATATAAGGCATGTTTACATGTGATGCTACGTCACCGTAGCAATGCGCTGTGGCGATGTAACATCTGTGGCAAAACCTGTGATGATGCAGCTACTTTGCCATAGTGACACGCTTCCCTGTTATAGCATATTGCTTTTGCAACGTAGTGCCCAAAAATAACTGTATGCAGCACCAGCTGCTACTGCACCGTCTTTTAGTACTAAATGATGGCTCAGGAACAATGGCGCCATAGTGGCAGGTGTATACGTGCCCATATAATAGGGGGCTCAGATGGGGTTGGCTACATGTTTATTAATATGCTGAGGTTAAAACAGGTATACAGTATGAATTCCTGATGCAGTTTATCCTCTGCTGTGTAATCAGAAGTACATTTAAGACAGCTGCATAAGACCTTGAAACAGTGCTGCTACCATGTCTTTTAATGCCCAGATTAGTTTCTGATCACAGTACCTTGCTTCTCATTGCAAATGTGCTGCTTGGGTGTCTGATCCATGGCCCCATACTCATGTGGTTAATCAAAGTCAATGGTCAGCAAATAAAGCTGGAATACAGTATTATTAGACTGAGTACACCTGAGCATATTATTAGACTGAGTACACCTGAGCACTGTATATATAAATGGAATGTATACCAAAGCTGTAGTATTCTGCTTTTTTCAAGCAGATTGCCTCCTTCTCCATAAACGTTAAGACTAGGTTTTAGACCTACTGAATTATTTCTATTGCTACAGAGGAAAATACCCCTTTAAGGAAAAATCTAAAACATGTTTTAATTGGAAAACATGGTTTATAGGAGATATGGGAAGAAAAATATTTATTCCCTATTTCTTTTTTGAAATACTTCTCTGTCAGAAAGTTGAATAATGAATAATAGCAGATATCTGATCATTCTCTCCTCCCTGTGCCTGGCAGACCTCAGCAACCATTCAGAGTATTTCAGCAAAGCTTCTGACCATAGCAGGGAGCATTGTACTGGAAACAAGCCCTATGTCTTCCTCCATGTGAGCTAAATGCGCCAAATCTGTAAGGCAGGTACTGTCTAGTGTACCTCCTGAGTGTGCTTAGAGCCACTGTCAGTCCTGGATATATTTATTGGCACATAGTGTTGTTCTAATGGAGAAAACACAACCTTTTTCAATATTTGGTGCTCACAGAGTGGGAGCAGGAGAGTGGGTGTATTTTCAGGGTGATAGGCCCTAGCAAGGACAAGCGTTGGATTTTCATAGCACTAGGGCTAACAGCTGTTGTGCTGCCATTACAGAAACCATTTTTCTTCTCCTGTTACAACTTGTCTATGGAAAGAGGAGGAGTTTGATGTCCGTAGTAACTAGCTGCATTACATCAACTTCTGTAATGGAAATAACTAGTGCAATATACTTCTAGTGCAGCATCATAGTTAGCAGATATGTCAGAATACAGCCCATTAAAACTTCTCACCTGTGGTCTCACCCCTATTAAGTTGTGAACATTGAGAAATTCTGTATTAGAGCAGGTAACAACTAAGGATCAAACACCAATGCCAAGTAGTTCACCAATCATGTAAACAATTGCTTATAAAATTCTCAGATTTTGTAAGGCCTTGCTTCAGCAAAAGTGCTTAAACACGTTTAACTTTATGCATGTGGTTATGTGCTTAGCTGGATCAGAATCTGAGTTAATACCTGGTCTTTTGCTATTTTCTGGGACCACAGTGTGAACAGCATACAATCTCCAACAAGTTATCATCATTTTCTCATGCAGAAAGCGGTAGCACTTTCCTCCTGTAAAAAAACTAAGTAACATTATGGTAACCTTGAAAATGACAGAGTTAAGAAGCTCTTTTTCAGAGTGCATGTCATACCAGTCAAAAAATAAGGCTGCTTTAACACACCACAGTGAAACAAAAAGGCGCACAGAGTGTCATTGGTCTGATTTTTACAAACACGCAAACACACATACATGATTGTGCAATCATTTTTTTCTTGAATTAAAGTCACACACTTGAAAATAATTGGTCTGTTTTAGTCACCAGCAACAGTATGAAAAACCCCTTCACTCTGCATGTCAGCACACCAGTTTTGAGTACAGCTATACAAGGATGTCACCCCAAGGTTAGCTAGGGTAAAAATTTACAGTGCCTCACCCAGTAACTTACCTTGTGGTAACTTGTTTGTGTAGCCACCCTGTCTCTTACAACAGGATCTCTCCATTCACAAACACGTGTGCTGAATTAGTTATTCACAATTCTTGTCACATTCTAGGTCTAATCTAGTTTCCAGTGAGCAAAACTCCCAAAGATTTCAGTAGGAGCAGGATTTCTGTCCATCATTCCCAACTAAGTCACTGATTGAGAAGAGAAGGCATTTTTCTTGGGTCTTACTTGTCTAGAGCTGAAAATGTAGACTCTCATCCTGCAACATGCATTGCATATAGGAATGGGCTTAAATCACTACATTTTATCCTTGGGAGGAGATATATTTTGGTAGCTTTAGTGAACTATTATTTAGGCCTAAGCATTAGTACTTTTAAGGGAAAAAACTACATTATTTTGTCTTGGTGTTGCATGTAATATCAGTGTGTACTTGCATATATCTCTTTCCCTGTCTATTGCCTGCACATATATGTATATGCACATATAAATCTGCTGTATGTGAGAAGCCATGGTTGATTTTGATGTAGCTCTCAGCCATGGTGTAAATGTCTAGAATGCCCACTCTGCAGAGGTCTTTCCAAACTTATTCATTAAACCCTGAAGCCTACGTGTGTCCTCAGGCACCAGGATAATTTTGAGTGTCTATTTTATAGGTTTCTTTTTACATGTTATACACTGACTACTATGTGCTGTAAAATTTCAATTTACCCAAACTGGTTGAGGGGGCAGGAAGAGAAGGGACTGGAGAAGGGTAATAGAAAGTAGGACATATAAAAGTTTGTGTATGGTACATAAAAATCTTAGAAGAAATAATCCATGCAATGCCAAGAGAGACTGATGATCCAGTGCTATTAATGGCCATTAATTTTTTTGGTGAAAAAACGATATTAATGGAATCATAGTTTGGGTACTAGCAAGAAAACACCAGCCTAGAATGTCATCTTATTGGCTGTAGGCATTACAAAACACTGTAGACAATAGGCAAATCCTGCCTTGGTTTTCACCGAAGCAAACTGATTGACCTCAGTGGAACTGCAGAAGTGAAAATGAAGACTGAATTGGGCCCAGGAATGACTTGTAAACAAGGGTCCCCAATTCTATGGGTGCAAGTGTGCATGCATACCTGTGTAGATGGACAGGCAGCACCAAATTCTCCTTAAAGTAACTGTAGCTGCCTCTTTTTACCCCTGCAGGGAATTTACACACACAAGCTTTGAAATAAGTCCGTGAAAAATTGCTCTAACCAAGCTGTAGGTGCAATTTGGCATCTAAAAAATCACAGGCTGAACCGGGAAATCTGAAAAATCAGGCCCGTACAGTTTAGGTGGTGAAGATTATTAAGTGGATAAACCACTAAAACCAGGGGAGAGGCTGCAGATTAAGGGTGTGTACAGAAGTTGCTTTTTTCACCAATTAAAGCGCTTTATTGCTGTGACTTAACAGAAGTGCATGGCTTTACAGCATTTAAAAATGGGTACAGGGCTTTAAATTAACCCTTATTAAATGAGGTTTTAAATTTGAAGTGCTGTATTTTACAGCATGTTAGCAACTTACAGCACTTAAAATAACTTCTGTATAGTGGTCAAATTTCTAACCAGTGGAGAAGCCCCAGGAAGTTGTGGAGCACCCCCTGCCTCCTAGCCTGGAAAGTGCAGGAGGCTCAGAGGCCTCCCTTCCCCACAAACCAAACACTGCACTTCTGTCGTGTTAAAGAGTGCTATAACTTTATAGCACTATAAAATGTGCTCCAAATTACAGCCCTGTAAAATGTGCATAGAGCACTTCTGTACATACCCTAAACACATAACTATAAAAAAAGAATTAAACATGGTCCCAATTCCATGTTGAGATGTCCAAATACAGTGTTACATGTGCACAGTTTAACTTTAGGTTCCCTGCTGTCCCATGCACAGAAGGCTGCTACTATTAGCCAGTTCCCAAGTTCGCTTACCAAAACACTGAAGATTAACCACTCTTAGTTAAAAGGGATTCCAGTTCATTTGGTCTGACATCATCCTGATGCTGTTTTTGTTGTGCTTGTAAGGCTTGCCATTGCTGCTTCCATGAATGTCTCTCTCTCCGATGCCCTAAGTGTTCATAGCTTGCACGCACAATTTCTGACTGTCAAATATATTTGCCAGCTCTTTCAAACATCTCTGGTGCAGATTAACCCTGCGTTCCCTTTCAGAAAGCCACATTTTCTGAAGCAGCTTTTGTGTTAGTTTTGACTCGCTTCTTCGCTGAGTAGTAATCTGTAGAAGAACCAACAAGCAAACAGAATTAGAAACTCTAGGATTAACAAGTGGTGTTTGCAAGACTCTCTCTAGTCTCCCTGCTTTTCTAGTAGAGTCATTTAGGCTTTTCTTTTAAGATCCGTGAGGGAACAGAACTAATACCTTTAGCATGTTCCATATAAAGCTGTGGAATACCAAGCAAAACAAAGGAAATGGGCTGGCATTTGTCCAGCACAGATCAAAGGACTTTGGATCCTCTTATGCAAGCTGAGCAATGTGACATTTTACTCCCTGACTTCTCAGTTTTGTGGTGTTTTCTGGTCAGAAATAGATGTTTTTCAGTACTCTTTTATCCTCCTTAAAAACAGACCCTCGGTGTAGAATAACATTAGAAAAATTATAGTTATGCTTGACTTTATTAGTCATGTTCTACTTTTGATGTTAAACTCTAGAAACAAAGACTGCGACCTTGCAATAACACTGAGTATATAGTCATTCTGCACTGAAGAAAGGAGTAAGCACAGTAGTTATGAGGAAAACACTTTGTATTTTTCGTATGCAACAATGTGATTGCCCATGCAAAATTCAGATCAGTCTCAGCTCTGAAATCATGGCCAGCCTTTCATAATTAGTGGAAACATTAAACAGTGATATTTTTCCCCTGACAGAAAAACAGACAGGGCAGAATTAGCTAAAATGAAACCTAAATGTTTACTTACAGTTAGAGGTCCGGGATTCTTAGCTGATGTAAACAACTTCATTGACTTTAAGTCCAGTTAAACCAGCTGAGAATGTGGCCCTTGTGATGCTTCCCATATAAGTAAACTGGCAATGTATATAGCAAATATCCATGGAGACCTAATAGCTTATGTCTTGTATTCATTTCAACAGGGAATAATGTTGGCAGGGTTATTGGAATACTATAGGATTTCACAGCCAAAGTTCTGCAAAGAGTATTCTTTAGCCAGTTTCATTAAGAGTGCAGTTTCATTAAGAGTGCACTATGCCGAGACACCTAGGGTTAGCTTAGGGACTGGGATAGGCATATCAGCATGGTGTTCCGGCCTAGTCTAATTAGCTAAGAGTACATCAGTCCTAGCAGAGTGCTCTACTGTTGCTATACCATACTATGGCTTAAACAAACCTTTCATCTGAAGTAGTCCTGATTATCCTGGGTTTTAACCAGCATCAAAACACCAGGGGCAGCCATTTACACCCATACCCTTTCCTGGCTGCATTTCTGCTCCTCTGCCAGTAGATAGCGAGTGAGAGTACACAGCCTGACAGGCTTGTCCGTATAGTGACTGGTAATTAAGGTGAATGACACACTATTAACTTAAAGATGTACACAGCATTGTAGGAGGGAGGAAGTGATGGCACATTTTATCTCGCATACTGCACAGGCATTTAAAAGGGGACAATGGATTCCTAGAATTCTCTCCTCCTGGGAGAAATGCAGCAACTGTTTATACCCTATATTAGTAGCTATATTGCTTCCGGTACCTGTCCTTTTAGTTCTATGGCTAAAAAGGGTACAAAAACCTTAGAGGTCTTCCAGGAGAACGGTGTGACATTACAAGGCCCAAATATATTGGGCTGAGTCAAGTCCTGGGGGTCTTGAAAACAAAGAAGTGTGTAAAAGGCCAGCATGAGAAGGTGGTGGCTGGTGCTGCATATAAAATCTCTTAGTTTCTTTTCGTCCATTTACCTCTGGCCTATGAAGCCCAATCAGAAGGCAGGGTGAATATGCACCTTTACGCTAGGTATCAGACATTCAAAAAGCCCAAGCAGGAATCCATCTAAATTAGGTGGCTTTTTGTAAGCAGTGTAGTTTAGATCATTAGCGAACAGAACACACATTTGCCCTTTGGTGCGGGGGAGGAGGTTGGGGAGGAAATCTTAGACGAGGTTCCACCATTTTAAACTGGTCTATGTGTGCTGAACTTCTTTTCTGTTATGGGTATACACCAGTTTCGTGTGCCAAACTTCTGTTGGGTTATGGGTATAGACAGGTTTCCAATCACTTATACCAGTAAAAGAGTAATGTCTGTACCTAACCTTATAGACTCTCTCTCTCTCTCATATATATATATGAGACAGGGAACAAGCTTTGTGAACTCAAGTTCACTTCATCAGATGCTGTGAAAGGGCATGCAGAAAGCAGGGTGTAAGAAGGAGAGAGAAATCAGAATACAAAGGACGAGGGAGCTCACAAAAGACTGTTTGGTTTAGTTTCTGGCAAAGTTTAGCTAAAACCTAGCTATATCTGGAACTTCCAACTCTGCATTACTTGCATGGAAACAGAACAGAGGCTGAACCAGTTGCAAGAAGAAAACAGTAGTGATGGGAAGAGAGAGAGCAAAATGGTGTCTGTAAAATGACCTGGTAATACAGCAAAAATCCTGCATTTTTATTGGTTAGCTCTTCCTGCCTAAGGATACAAATATAGTTGAAAAGCCTCAGCTCCTCCCACTTTGGTGGCTCCAATATCTACCGAACCCATGGTTGGTTTTTAATATGGTGATGTTTATTTAACAGACCACAAGCTGTCTTTGAAAGTTTAAATTAAATACACATTGCGGGACCTTCAATGCAAAATGCTGCAGAGCTCTCCTTGACTTAATGTGATTACAGACTGATCTGAGAAATAATCCTAAACTAACCTCCATCTCTAGAATGATAAAAGGTTGGGGTATGGCACAGAATCATTTTTTGAGTGTCATCCCACCCGATAGATAAATCCTGTCTAATTCCATATGCAGCAGAGCCCCGTTCTTCCCAGTTGGAGAGAAATGTTTATACTGTTGAATTGGTAATAGGAAAACTAAGTGTGTGTGTAATTGAGTGAAAGATAGATGGAAAGATCTTAAAGCTCTGCCAGAAAAAGAAGAATGCACATGTTTGCTGTGATCAGGTTTGTTATATCCAGAATCATTGGAGAAGGAATCGATTCAGCAATATGCTTTCTCTTTTAAAAGCAAATGTGGAAAATTGTTAAATTATGCAGATTGGTGTGCTGGCTTCCAGATCTCCTGTTAAATGGTTCTTTACTGGGCAAAAGAACTGTCCCTTGGACATCTGCATAATTTAGTACCAAATGCCCAGTCAGTAGCATAACAAGGGCACCCCAGGCACTGACAATAAGAGGACACCAGAATCTCCCCCAGGAATCTTTGTCACAGCAGGGGCAGCCCTGCACTGCCCCTGCCTGATCATAGGAACCAAGTAGTATAACTAGTGGGCAAGGGCAAGTGGAATGGTGCTCCCCCTCTCCTCCTTCCCTCTAGGAGCCTTTGTCAGAGTATGCATAGCCTAATATGTAATGTAGGGGAAGAAGCAAATGTGGCACCACTGTCAGCTCTGGGGGAGCCCAGTTACGGAGCTGCTGCTGCTGGGGTGGACTGATGCTGCTGCAGCAGTGGCAGTAGCAGCAGTTGCTTAGGAAGGCAAGTCTTGCCTTGCCTTGCCTTGACCTACTTGCTACCCCATCTGGCCTACAGTGGTTGTACCTGCTCACCACCCTGGGTGCTCAATGAGCTTGCTACACCTCTGTGTCCAGCAAGAGATTTGCAGTTGAATAGTGACTCCCACATGCCACTAAGCTCAAAGGCAAATTCCACTTAAATTTTACTGTTAATTGGTTAAGGTCTGAAAAGCCCAATGGACATCAAAAGTGCATTTATTATGTACCATTGCCCCATCCTCTGGTATCGGATGGTTCTCTTTCCACTAATCTGTAACCTACCCGTGAATACCTTTAGTGATGATGATGACTCCATCACCTCTCCTGGCAAGCTACTGCATTGCCTGATTAACTTTTGTATTCAAAAACATGTCCAAAATCTTCGTTTTTTTTGACAGATTTAAGCTGGTACTTAGTGTTCTCTGCCTCAGGCAGGCTAGAAAATATCTTGGTGACAAACTGTGACAAGCCCAGTAAGGACAAGTAAAGTATCATCATTTAAGGAGCAGATTTTCAAAAGAGCTCAGTTCCCTCTAAGCTCAGCTCCTCACCAACATGAGGAGTCTGATTTTCAGAAGAGTTTAGTGCAGAGTTCGGAGCACTTCTGAACATGTGACAATAAGCATCAGAATAGGAGCCCCTTTGAAAAAAATGTATATGGGAGCTGAACTCCTTTGAGTATCTAGCACCACGTATCAGTGTTGATTACCTGAAAAAGTGGCCCTTTCTGCCATCTGGCCAAATTTCAGACTGATCTGTCTCTTAAAAAAATCTCTGGATGCTTTTGCTGAAGATCATATACAAAATAATTCTCATATCTACAATGGCTTCTTCCTTCCGGTTCCTGCCCTACCCTCTTCTGATTCTGCTGTTTCTCATACTACATTTTTTGGGTCCTCATACTACATTTTTGGGAAGACAGCACCTGATTAACTGTGGGCAGCTTTAAAAATAAAATAAAATAAAATAAAATAAAATAAAAAGAATAAAGGGAAGTGGATACATGCTTGTGGTGAGACCCAAGTTCCCCTTTAAGGTGAGATCAGCTACCATATTTTCTCACATACTGTATGCCTTTGTATATAGCATGTCTTTTTTAAGGGCAGCATGAAGAAAAAAACAACTTCCTTTGGTAACTGAGTAGCAGCTGCTAGGGAGTCAAGCCTACTGCCAGCCTCACGTGCCGGATGGGGTCCATGGACAAACCCAGTACCTTGGGGCCAGGCCATGTGCTGGGTCTGACCTGGTGCACAAGGGCCATGTGTTGGGTCTGGGGCTGCATGCCACGTATAGCTGTGGAGCAATCCTACATGGGTGGCTGAATTGGTGTGCAGAGCCATGCTGTCTGGCTGGGGGGCTCCCTGTGGGTCCAGAAATTTGGCAGTGGGGAAGTACTGGTAGTGTTAACGAGTGTGGCTTGAAGAGCACTCTGGGACTGCTGCCACTGCTCCCTTACCACCAAATTTCTGGACTCATAGGGAGCCCTATTTCTCACATATAATGCATATCCCAAGTTCTGCCAGCTGGTTTTGGGGGAAAGGTGCAGGTTATATTCAAGAAAACACAGTGTTTTTCTTAGCATTCCTCCCCCTAAACTGCCTAAACTGCTTTCCCATCCCCACAACATTTTAAAGAGTAACCAGTCATTATTTGCCTTGGATTGACTTTCAGAAGTCCTGAACAAAAAGAAATCCCAAAGAAATCTATGGCAGCTGCAGGTGCTCAGCACTTTCTAAATATAAAGCCACTAGTATCTCATGTACACTGAACATTTTAAGGCCGCTACTTCTTGGAATCATTTGTGCCATCTAATTTATCCGAAGAGTTGCCTGTGTGAAATCAGGACTGGTGAGAGGCCTATCAGAAGCTAATTTCTGCAAAGCCCTGTCTCTGGTTTTTCTGGAGTAAGCAACAAACAGCAAAAATCTCATGCACCTGTGACGGAAGCCTGTCTTTGTTTCCTCACTTCTTGGCTCTTGCCTACAATTTTCTTGGGAGCTTTGGATTTCTCAGTCAGTGTCACCTTGGCAAACTGGTGAGCCCTGGCTTCCTTGCCCATGGGCTGGTTCAAGAGCTGCAAGGGCTTGCGAGCCTCTCCTACCACACAGCTGTGGTAAAAGGCTGGGACCTCATGGCCCTGTAGCTCTTCCCATTGCAGAAGCCCCTCAGCTGGTATTTCTCGTAGGAAGTCAAAGTTCCACTTCTGCTTGGCTCCCTCTACACTGCTGTGCAGTAGCTGCTGGAAGTCCTTCTGCAGCTGCTCGTGGTCCACAGGACCAAAGAGGTTCCTTCGCACATGGTTTGTCTTCACTGGTCTCCGCACCATGTTTTCACCCTTCTGCTGCTCTCCAGTGAGCTTAAAGATCAGCAATTCCCTGCCAATGACACACCATGAAACATACTCAATTTAACAAGCGTCATATATTCTTGGTAGGGATAGAGGGGTAGCTAAAGGCACAGATAGAAGTGACAATTTTTGCTGAATCTGGTCCCTGAAAGTGTTCTACAGCCAGGACCTAATGCAAATGCACAGTTGCAGAGCACTTTAAAAGGGCCAGATTCCATGACAATCTAAACCCTCATATTACATGAGGGTTCAGATGAAAGCACTTCAAAGTGCAGTGCCTCCATTAACTTGTCTGCATGTGCCAGGAGCAGGACTGGGCTGATGCATCCCAGCCCTGTTCCTGGCACTATGTTCAGAATGGAAAGGGGGAGAAGAGGGTGGAGGGAGCTCGTTTTGGAGGTTGCCAGCCCACCTTGGGGGGGGGGCTCCAATCTATCCCCCACTCCAGCTCAGGCTAGGGAAACCCCAAAACGGACCTCCCTCTCTTCTTCGACTCCCCATCCTCCTAACAACAGCTAACGTCTCTTGGGTTGGGAGGATCTGCCTAACCTATGGCACTTTCTGTGAAGTGCCATGAGTTAGAATGGGAAGCTGCACTTCTGTCTGCGCTTTAAATGGTTGGATATTTCCGAGTCTCTTAAAGGAAATGTTTCAAAACTTCTCCAAGTCTCCATTCCTCATGGAGAACTGCCCTTGGGATGCAGCTGGAGGCTGATATCTTACTTGCTATGAGATGTGTGGGGGGAAGGAAAGGGAGTCCTTCCTCTCTCTTTTGTGTGTGGTTTACTATACAATGAGTGAAAGATGTAGGATCATTTTTCTTGGAGTCCCAGGGGAACTGACTTTAAGTTCTTTGGGGTCAAGAGTGTTTGGTTATGCAGTGTCTCCTACAATGGGCTCTTAGTCCAGGACTGGGACTCATGGATTTTAACACAATATACCGTAAATAACAACAGGGTGGCCAAAAAGATATGGGGACAAGTGAGGCGACACAGGAGACAATGTGTGTTAAATATTCCAGTATGAAGGGAAGGGATTGAAAGAAATCTCAGGGCGGAAAAAGTGAAAAAAAATGGTAGTATAAGAGTGATGTAGCTGTGGTGGTCCAGAAATTATATGAGGGGCAAGGATTTCTTAGGGTGATACCTTTTACTGGACCATCTGCATTGTTGGGTTAGTTAGACAAGCTTTCAAATGCAAAGCATTCATGCCATCTGATCAGAACAGACAAGGAATTTCTTGCATTTGAAAGCTTGTCTAACTCTGTCCTAACCACACAGTTGGTTCAATAAAATATATCAACCTAAGAAATCCTTGCCTCTTGGAAGAAAATATAAAAGCCAGGATACAGCGGAGATGGTATCTCTCCCTTGGCTACTATTCCTATTTACATTCATTATTTAAGTTGGAACCTGAACCATGCAGAAATGTAACCACCTCCCTGTAATTTTATTCTACCTTCTGAAACAAAATGTGTGTGTGGTATGGGTGAAATTCCCACCCATAGACAAAAATAAAAGCAAGCCTATGTATTTGATCCTGTCAGGGCAAATCCTGCCCCAACACCACTTGGGATTAAAAGCTTCCTATAAAAGAGAATATTCTGAGAGGAAAAGGAGGGACATGGTTTGGAGATTGCTCAGGACTCTGTCTTCTCTGTTTTAGGGTACCCCAGTGGCTACAGCATTTCCTTGGGTGGTTGGAAGCCTCAGGTTGAAATCCCTATTCTACAAGGAGCTCCTTAGCTCTAGTTCTGGGACTGCAGTGACTCTATCATGACTGATCAAGTCACTTAACCTCTCTTAGCCTTTCTTCCTTACTCTGTATCTGCAGAAAGGCTAAGAGAGGTTAAATGACTTGATCAAAGCCATGCACAGAGTCAGTGCAATGCCAGAAATGGAGCTAAGGAACTCCTGGTAGAATAGGGATTTCAACCTGAGGCTCCAACCTCCCAGGGAAGTGCTGTAGCAGCTGGGGTACCCCAAAACAAAGCTGACCATTGGTGATGGATGTTTTGCTTGGGTCGCATCTAGCTTAAGTGTGCTCTGAGTATACCTACAGAAACAGACCCCTGTGATTAGACAGGCAGGACAATGCTGAAACTGAGAATCTAGCGTTGCAGCTAGGGATCTGAGCAGCTCTTAGATATGGAGCAGTATCAATGCTTAGGTGACTTTGCACATACCCTTTCTTCTGCTGGGAGTGTCTCTATCACTCAGAACTATGCCAGGCTGTGTCATACTGAGACATGCTACCTCTGTTCCATCTACACTAGCTCCCATATTGGAAGTAGCATCACCAGCACAGTGTCTCAGTACAAGGCTGCCAAATGCCACAGTAGAGTGGCGTGGACATCTTCTAAGGCACTGAGGGAATTTTGCAACTTTAGGGTTAGGCAGCAAATGAGTGATAGTGCTTACGCTACCAGTTATGCAGGTTGTGAATTTTCATTTCTAACTAGGAGAACTTTTGCAGTCTCGGCTCTTTCCTATGCCTGATGAAGGGTGTGTGTGCCCCAAAGCTTGCAGATAAATGCAGTAGTTTGTTCGCAAATATCTAGTTGGTTTAATAAAAGATATCACCTCTTCCATGAGTTTTGATCCCCTAAGCTATCAGTAGCACCTAAATGATAGATTTTGGTGCCCAAATCCTTTTGTGGCTCTAACCCATAACTCTCAGTGCCTCCAAGGGGAGGCAGCTGCAAATACAGCAATAGAAATAAACCTCTGGGTGGTGTCCAAGAGCTCAGAAGGAAACTGCTCTTCCTGCAATCATGTACCACCTTGCCCTGAACTGCTAGGATATTCAGCAGTATCGGTTGTCACTATAGCTAATAACAGCCACACTGCTGCTATGTTGCTTTTTCATCTGATGCCAAACCTCCAGTGGTTTAAGTTAAGTTCACACAAAGGTAATCCATCACATTTGGGAAAGGAGAGGCAAGGCATTGGAGGAAACAATCTTTTGTTTTAGCAGCTTTTCTCAGATGAATGGTGAACACTTCTTTGATACAACTGCACCAAGATAAAATAAAAAACAAACAAACCCTGATGTTTCTCAAACATTTGGGGCTTTGTGATAGTGTTATTTTTGAATATCTTAAGTAACATTTACTAGACAAGAAACTGCCTTGCTTACATCTTACCTATCTTCTTTCTGACAGCAGTACTATTTTGTTTTTCAGGGGAAGGTATGGGAAACTTAAAATGAGCAGTTACACAATAGCATCTCGCCAGAGAACATTTTTCCTTCTCTTTGCCAAGTGTGTGTGTGTGTGTGTGTGTGTGTGTGGTAATTATAGAGGCTTTCATTATTGTGCATGGCTTGGGTAAAATCCTCACTATAAGGATTTCACTCCTTGCCCCCTTTTTTAGAATCCTGCTAAAATTCTTGATCCTAGGGGTGTATTGTGGCAATGAGATTGCAATATTAATTCTTCATTGTGTAACAGCCTAAACCTTACCTGCAAAAAATAAAATAACCTAAAATATTTTCTGTATGCAAAATGCTTAGAATTTGGAAATTTCTTGCGGTCTGTATGGTTCATTTCCTCCTTTTCTCTTGCATCCATTTTTTTTGAAGAGTTCTATCAACTCTGTGAGCCTGACCCTCTTAATTGGTATCTAGCAGTGGCATTTCTAACTCCCCTTAAGTTTATCTGACCTCTTAAACCTGTTCTAAAAGGAACACTGGGCACATCCACACATGCACCATTATAGTGCAGTATTTTAGGTTACTGTGCAGTAACCAAAAATTACTGTGCAGTATGGTCATGTGCCTACACGTGCTTGCTTGTACCGCACTGTAATGCCTGCATGTGTAGATGCTGGTGTAAAAGCTGCTACGGCTCAGTAATTTACTGCTCGGTAAATGCACATATAGACATGCCCACTAAGTTCTGTGATAAAGGAATCTTTTTGATTTTGCATTAAAAGTCAAAATTTTAAATGAATTTCAAAACAGATCAGGTCTAAAAATTAATAGATGATGGTGATGATGTGGCGACACTGGAGTACTGCATCCAGTTTTGGGCCCCTCACTTCAGGAGAGATGTAGATAAGCTTGAGTCCAGAGGAGAGCTACCTGCACAATCAAAGGTCAAGAGAGCAAGTCTTATGAGGAGAGGCTGAGGGACATGGGATTCTTCAGCCTGGAGAAGAGAAGGCTCAGGGGGGACTTGGTGGCAGCCTATAAGTATATAAGGGGGGTACACCAAGATATGGGAGAACAGCTGTTCACCAGGGCTCCTAAAGGGATAGCAAGGTCTAATGGCCACAAACTTCTGCAAGGCCGATTTAGACTGGACATAAGAAAAAATTTCTTTGCTGTCTGAGCATCCAGGATCTGGAACAGACTCCCCCCAGAGGTGGTGCAAGCACCTACTCTGGCCTCATTCAAGAAATGTTTGGATGCTTACCTTGCTGGGATCCTTTGATCCCAGCAGACTTCCTACCCATGGCAGGAGGCTGGATTCAATGATCTCGCAGGGTCCCTTCCGGCCCCTAATGTCTATGAATCTATGAATGATTTTGGCAAAATATCCCCCATGTTTTTAGGGGGATTTTACATTCTTTTCCTTGCTGGTACACACGAGCTCCCTCTGTATGACAAGGTGGGGGAGGGCATTCAAATTGCTAACCATGCAAATGGTTACTGCACAATAAGGTGTCTACACATGCTTGACTGTGTAGCAACTACTCAGGCATAAACATAAGTGACGCATAGGGGGGCACGGGCTCTCCCTAAAACTGGTCACCACCGCTGCCTGTGTCACTGCTTGCAGACGGTCACTGCTCGCCATCCTCCCCACCTCCTCACTGACACCGCTGTGACTGCCATGGGTGGTCCCCGCTTGGCCCACCCTCACCACCGTTACTGTGGCTGCCTGCAGGCGGTCCCTGCTCGCTGCTGCGGTGCACCTGCCGCAGACACCTGCCATTCCCCCCCAGCCTCAGGAGGCACACGTTGTTCATGGGTTTTAATTTGCTACCTGCGTCATAAATCACCATAGTTACTGCACAGTATGGC